GCAAAGGTGAGAGCTGAAAGCACATCTTCATACAGAGCTGGGAAGAAGGATGTTGCAGGTCATCTCCTTCCAGTTGAATAGGATAATCATGTCCTTCCTGGGCAAGAAAGCAGGCACAGAGTGCAGTAATTTCACTAATAACGTGCTGATTTGCATGATTAGGGGCATAATAGCCTGACACAGCAGTGTGTGTGCATCCAGCAGCCACTTATTGACAGCCAGGTGCTGCTGGTCCATCCACCCCAACCTGAGGCAGCAAAGGAAACAGGGGGGTCATAAAAATAACGGCTTATTTATTTCTCTCTCGTTGTGTTCATTTGGGGAATTACTATGAGCTTTCCTTTCCAGCCCTGTTCAAACCACCCACGTGCCTTTCAGAGGTTGGAGGTGGTTCAGGTTTTAAATAGCTGGGAAAGACGTGGGATCAACTGGAAAAAAAATGGGAACATCCAGGAGGTTCTTCTATTTTTTGCCCCTTAAATGCAGGTCGCTGGTGTTCTGCAACTCTCTCAGCACTTCAGATCTTGTAGCACAGCAAACAGCTCTTTAATTATTATTGTTTTTCCCCCAAACAAGCAATACTTGGTGTTAATTTGTAGCTGAGCGTGCCTGTGTTTATCCAACAGTCTAAGCTGGGTGTATGAATGTGGTAAAGGCAATTCCATGCCCAATCATGAATATTAATCATACAGTTCAATTAACAAGAGCTGAAATTCCATGACAGTTTGAAAGTAATGGTTTAATTGAAAAGGCCTTTAGAAAGTACATTTGCAAAATCATTTGAGCCAACAAATTCTGCAATACTTAAGCCATTTGTTGATTTTTGACTTGTGAATAATTAATGTTCTCATCCAGACTCCCCTCTCAGTACAAATATTCCTTTGGGACACGGCAGTATTTTTTAGCACATGAAAAGTCACATAATCCATACTTAGTCTTAGACTTCCGCAGAAGATCACAACAGAAAATAATCATGTTAATCCTATTTACTATTATTTTCATCACCCAAAAATGATTTACTTGCTGCCTGTCCAAAGTTGTTGGAGTTGCTTCCTTCACCAGTGCCACGTTTTTAGTGCTGCTTCCTTTGGAGGGAGGCTCAGGGCCGTGTACCTGCAGAGTGCTGCGTCCTGAGGAGCTCCAAGACCTTGGAAGGCAGAGAGTTGCCCCCACTCTTGGATGAAATCCGGGCTGGTTTTGTTCTAATAATTGAAGTCTGAGTCAGTGTTGGTTGTTGTTCCATGCTCCCTTTGCATCTGCATTGGCTCCAAATCAATATTTGTGTCTTTAATCCCCACGTGTTGTCTCCCAAGCGCAGAGGTGGGATGTGTGTAGACTTTTGATGCTGAGCTCCGGTTTTGGTGCGCGGTGTGAAGGTCCTGGCACAAAAAGGAGGCTGAGAGGAAAAACCTCCCGACTTGTTGTATGACCACCAAGTGCCCCTCTTGGTCTTGTGTTTAAAAATTGTCACCATTTGCATTTCCTGGGTGAAGGTTGCTCAGAAGAGCAGGGAGGGAAGGGCTGCCCCGCTTGCAAATGAGTGGCTGGAGCGAACGGCGCTGTGCTCGTGCAGTCGGGCACTGTCACCTCCAGCACTGCAGAAGTCCTGGTTGCCAGGTGAAGGAAGTGTGGAAGTCACAGCACTCCGTGTACGTGCCTCACATGCTTTGTTCCTCTCCCCTGAATTTGCTGGGCTGCTGGAGGAGCCGTTTTGCAGCGTTTTCCTGCCCTCTGAGGCCGTGCAGGAGGTAAATTCATTTTCACATGCACCGCAGGGACACGCGGCTCTTCAATCTGTTAATAAGCAGTTTTCTTTCTCAGTCACTTTATATGCCGCTCAAAGAGATGTAAATCTAAACAAATACCAGTAATTAGTGGATGTGCTTAACAAATCTGAATTGGATTCCATGACCCAGTTGAGCAACAGACCCTCTGACAGAAGAGCCACCACCTGCCTGAGAGGAATCTGTCAAACTCCTCTAATTTTTTTGATATTTATTCATTAGGGTGGTGAGCAGCGACAGAGGAGCTGCCATCTGCCTAACCTGGATCACTGCTATCTGTCAGCTTTTGGGGACAGGTCTTTCTCCATGTCTTATTTCCTTGCTCCACTACCTGTGGAACTGCAAGGACCTCTCAGTGTATAGTCTTGCCCTGCATTGGGGGAAATGTTAATTAGGGCATGATAATGAGGATAGAATAGAGTAGAGTAGAGTAGAGTAGAGTAGAGTAGAGTAGAGTAGAATAGAATAGAATAGAATAGAATAGAATAGAATAGAATAGAATAGAATAGAATAGAATAGACAACCATCATCTAGTCCAGCTGGACTGATGGAGGACATCAACTGGGGATGGTCATCAGCTGAAGTTGTGGCAAGTGGTGGAGTCACCATCCCTGGAAGTGTTCAAAAACTGAGCAGATGTGGCTCTTGGGGACCTTAGGGGTGTTCAGTCACTTGATCTTGGAGACCTTTTCCAACCTTAATGATTCTGTGATGGTGGGAAGTTTTGTTCTTCTCCCAGCTCTGCTGCACGAATAGAAGGAAGTTCTTTGTCTCTATTAGCAATGAAATTACAAAGAAATCCAGGTTATTCCCCTCAGAGGGCAGCAAGCTCTGTGCTCGTGGGGTGAAGGGGTGAGCAGGCTGTGTTTGCTGTCTCTCAGGGCTGGCTGTGAGGGGGTGAGGAGTTTGACTTGCCCTTGTTGTTAACGTGGGGTGGGTGTGGTGTCTGTGCTTCTCCCCAGTACGGTGACTACGATCCCAACGTGCACAAGAGAGGCTTCCTGGCACAGGAGGAGCTGCTTCCCAAGCGGGTAAGGAGCTCTGGGGAGTCACTGTCCAGGCTGTCCTGAGGCTGGACGTGCTGCTGGGAGCTGCCTTGGTGTTTCTGGCTTTCTTGCTGAGCCAGGAGCAGCACTGTGACCTGGTGTCTGTCTCCCACCTGTGCCAGGTAATAAACCTGTACCAGATGACTCCAGAGATGTGGGAGGAAAGGATAACAGCCTGGTACGCAGAGCACCGGGGCAGAGCCAGGTGAGCTTGTGCTGCTGGGCTGGGTCAGGGCCAGTCCCCTCCCCTGCAGAGTCACCAGGCTTTGGGAAGCTTGGGCAGGCACTGGGTGAGCTCTGCCAGCAGGTTAATCCCAGCACATTCTGCAGCAGCCTCAGGAAGAGCTCAAAGCTTTCGTTGATGGCTCTGCTTGTACCTTGGTCATTGTCGGGGCCTTAGGAATGATGCAAAGTAAGGACTCACCTGCATCAGGGATCTGGGAGAAGAAATAGAAATTCAAACCCTGTGGCTGCCTCAGGTGGCAAAATGCTCCTTTTGGGGGATAAACATAAAGCCATGGATCTGAAACAGTGGCATCCCAGCCAGGGATTTCCTATTTATGCTGAAGGGATTGGGAGGTGAACAAAGCCAGGCCTGGAGTGCTGCATCTCAGCAGCCACTCAGATGCTGGCAACTGCAGAGAGAGATTTGCTCTTGGACTTTATTGATCCTGCCAGCAAAGACAGGATTGACCTGTGTGATAGAGACAGTCCAGGCTTTAAAGCCTGGTGAGTGCTTAGGATCAGCAGGAGCAGCCATGTCCCTCTCTGATCCTCCCAAACACTGTTCCTGCCTGACAGAGATGAAGCTGAAATGGAGTATCTGAAGATAGCCCAGGACCTGGAAATGTACGGCGTGAACTACTTTGCCATCAGGGTGAGTTGGGTGGGCTGGGGGTCCTGTTCTCCTGCCAGGGTAATCTCCATGTCCTAGAGAGCCAGGAGAGCTGGGAGGTGACATTTGGGGACATGCTGAGGGGAGGCAGCAGCTCCTGGTACCCAGTGCTGGGTCACTGCTGGGGGCTGGCTGAGGAGGGAACACTGGTTCACGTCTGACCTTCCCACTGATTTCTGCTCTTCCCATTCCTCCTGCAGAATAAAAAGGGCACAGAGCTGCTCCTTGGAGTTGATGCCTTGGGTCTGCACATTTATGACCCAGACAACAGGCTGACCCCTAAAATCTCCTTCCCATGGAACGAGATCCGGAATATCTCCTACAGTGATAAAGAGGTATGGATGTGTCCCACCTCCTCCCTGAGAGCAGGAAGAACACAACTGGGATTTAAAATTATTTCTTTTCACTTCTCTGTCTGCTGTGCTTGCTCTCACCAGCTTAGCTAAGGGCAGCTCAACTCCTCCAGTTGAAACCTTAATCCAAGCCTTCCTGAAATTGTGCAGGAGTGGGCGTGCAAGGGGTCACTGGGGAGCTGGTTCTCCTCTTTGGTTTCAAACCTTCTATATAATAATCTTTTCAAAAACCCAAAATTGCTGTTGATGTTCTTAGCCCAAATACCAGAGTTCAGAAGTTAAAATCTCTTCTTTACTGCATATATTACAGTATTTATTACTGTGGATGTATTCTGTATTATGGAATACAGGGAGATGTATTCTTGGGGAGAAGAGCTCTTGCCTTCTCATTACATCATCTTGGGTTTCAGGCTGCTGGGCTTGGCATAGCAGCTGGAATCTTTTTAGGAAGTTGAGCAATTTAAGCCCTCTGTTAGATAGTTATTTATTAAATCCAGAGTCTAAATCTGGGTCTTTGGGATTGTTGGCCCTCAAACCTAATTGAGAACAGAAGTGCAATTGGCTGAGGAGGGGGGACTGAGCAGCTCCATTTTAAGTCTGAGAGAGCTGCTCAAAGAAACCAGCTGCCTTCATGGTAAGGAAGAGAATTAACTTCTTAATTAAAAATGGTTTTCTAATCTAAACATGATATTGATCAGGGGAGCAGCTAAAGGTTTCTCATCAGCTGCGTTTATTGCATGTCTTGTGAAGTTTCATAAGCAGTAAATCCGTGCTGGAATTGTCTCCACTTGCTTTACTCCTTAAAGAGCTCCAGGACTCTGCAGAAAGCCCAGCACTGAGTGAGTTGCAGAGCTTCCCTGCCTGTCACAGAGCAGTGGGAGCTCCCCAGACTGCAGGGACTGACCCTGCACAGGCAGCCTCGCCACAGGGCTGTGTCAGAGCTCTCTCCAGGGGCAGGATGGATCCCTTCCATCAGCTCAATCGTCAGGTGCCCACGAGCAGGCCTGACCTGATGCAAACAGGGCCAATAGCTGGGAGCAGCAGCTCTGCTGGCACCACACTGGGGGTTATCCCTCCTAACAAAGATTGACTGCTCACACGGAGCTGAAACTCCTCTCCCAGCACATTCCTGCTGCTGCTCTCAGTGACTGCTGGGGGCCCTGCTGGAGCTCCAATCCAGGGACGTTCATGCACGTCTGCTTTTGTGAAAGTCTGAAAAGATTGGCTCTTAAACTGCCAGAGCAAGGCAGTGCCAGGACAGGGCCCTTTGCAGGCAGGGCTGTGTATTGACAGATCTCCCACTCTAATGGACACACTCTGTCTGCTCCAGCTCCTCAGCCCGTTATTTCTGTAGTGTGTGGGGGAGTGATGGAATATGTGCATGTCTCCTAAAAAATGCCATCTTGCAGAGCACTCCATCTCTTCAAGTACCCTTTTGATAGTGCAGAGGCTTCTCTCCATCCAAGGGCTGCATTACCAAAGCCCTTGAGGGATTTGTGCCACCGCTGGGCTCTCTGTGGGAGAGCTGTGGAGAGGGTGAAGCCAGGCCATGGGTAGGGCTGGCTGGTTTACATGGACTGTAAACACAACTGAGAGCCAGGGAATAACAGCTTGAATTGTGGGGAAATCTTAGGACATCCTGTTTGAATGCTGGGGAAATCTGAGTTCTGGAGAAGGAACTGCATGGAAAATTCTTCTGGGGAGCTCTTGTGAGTGGAAGTGTCAGGGGAAGGGTGGCAGCTCCTTGCTGTGTTCCTGATGCAGCTCTCCTGCCTTTTAACTCCCTGACAGGAGAGTGCAGCCAGCTGGGAGTTGAGCTCTTCTCCCAGGTAAAAAGTGACAGGATGAGATGAGACAGCCTCGAGTTGTGCCAGGGAAGGTTTAAGATGGATATTAGGGAAAATTCCTTCATTAAAGGGCTGTCAAACCCTCACCCAGACTGCCAAGGAAAGTGTTCAGAACTCCTGTGGATGTGGCACCTGGGGGCAGGGCTTGAGGGTGAGCATGGTGCTGTTGGGTTGACACTTGAATTTTAGGATCTTGGAGGGCTTTTCCAACCTTAATGATTCTGTGGTGCTGTGTGATGGTGTTCACAGGGGTCTCAGGTTGAGGGAAGAGATGAGGATCTGACTCCATGTTTCAGAAGGCTGATTTATTATTTTATGATATATATTACATGAAAACTATACTAAAAGAATGGAAGAAAGGATTTCATCATAAGGCTGGCTAAGAATAGAATAGCAAAGAATGAAAACAAAGGTTTGTGGCTTGGACTCTCTGTCTGAGCCAGCTGGGCTGTCATTGACCATTAATTAGAAACAACCAACATGGGCAATCAAAAATCCACCTGTTGCATTCCACAGCAGCAGATAACCATTGTTTACATTTTGTTCCTGAGGCCTCCCAGCTTCTCAGGAGGAAAACTCCTAAGGAAAGGATTTTCCATAAAAGAGGTCTAGGACAGTGCTGAGCTGGTTCTTCCTTTGGAAGCACGCTGAGTTCCTGCTGTGGTTTCTGTGTTCCCTGCAGCTCCCAGGAGAGCAGCACCTTGCCTGGGGAGGTGCTGAGCTGAGCCCCCAGCCCTGCAGGGCTCTCTCAGAGGACACCAGCTCCTGTGGCCCCCATGTTTTCCTGGCAGGAGGAACAGTTGCCTCCTTGGCTGCTTTTGATGCGAGTCCTCTTGCTTGGCTCAGAGCCACGGGGCCGGCTCTGAGCCGTGTGTCTGACCCTGCTGACCTGCTCTGAGCCACAGCTTTCAGGAAGAATTTTATAGCTGCCTTTTTATTAAATGCACCACTCTCTGATAACTCTCTCCCTCTTTATTTTTTCCTTTTCAGTTTACGATTAAGCCATTGGACAAAAAGATTGATGTTTTTAAATTCAATTCATCAAAGCTGCGTGTGAATAAGCTGGTAAGTGCACAGACAGGCTTTTTTTACTGCCTGCAGCAGTGGGTTCTGCAGAGAGTGTGACACAACGAGCTTTTGGGGCTTTTCCTTTTTGAGGGAGCTGCTGCTGGGTGGCTGTGATGGGGTGCAGCAGTTTCTGCTCACTGAAGAAGGGAAGGGAGAGACTCAAGACAAGCTGCTCCACAGAACCTCTCACCCTCCCCTGTTTTTGTGCTCCCTTTTGGAGCTCTTGGCTTTCAGCTGACCTAAATAGTGGAAGCACTCAGTAAGTACAGCTCCCAGCTTTGCTCAGTTCCTCTTTCTCCCCATGTGGATCTTTCCCATTCTTCCCAGTGTCGTAGCTGTCCCTGTTTTGGGAGGCACATTTACCAGAGTCCAGAACTCTGCTTGGACAAGGATGGCTGCATTGAGCTGTCCATGTTGGAGACCAGCTTTAGCTGATGTTCTGGATTTGGATCTGTAGTTAGGTCACACAGGTACCTTTGCTGTCCTCTTGTTGGCTGTGCTTCGTATTCCATAGGAAATGGGGCTTCCTCATTCCCTGCATCATCAGGTTCCTGGTGCTGAAATCTTCAGAGAAGTCATTTGTGACTTGGGTTGTGGCTGCCCCATCCCTGCAGGTGTTCCAGGCCAGATTGGATGGGGCTTGGAGCACCCTGGTATAGTGGGATGTGTCCCTGCCCATGGCAGGGGTGGCACTGCATGATCTTAAAGGTCTCTTCCAACTCCAGCCATTTCATGATTCTTGTGATCTTATGAAATGGAAGAAGAGCATGTAAATCAGTCCTTTAGAAAAGAATCCAAATTTAGAACCCTGCTTTTATTGCTAAAAAAATCTTTTCACTCCTCTGTGTGCCCACCTTGTGCTAACCCTCCTCTAGCACTGCCACCTCCCTGGTCCTCACCAGAGAGAGAACCACACTGGGGCTCAAATCCCTTCAGCAAAGGCATCTGAAGATGCCCAAGCAAGTTTTGGATAAGCCTTCTGTTTGTCCAAATGGAAAGTGGTTTTCCCGTTTTTTTTTCCTTTTAATTTATTTTTTAATCTCATTGCCTTAAACCTACACTGGGTAGAAGGTGCAAGTTCATCTTGAGCCTAAAAGAAAGGTGGCAGTGAGAACCAGGGAACCAGGTAGAGCTGTAGAAATTTTTATTTCATTATTTGGTCTCTTGCCTTTTTAGAGTGGGTGTGAAACAACACCCGTGCTGTGCTGGAGGCACAGAAAATTGGTGTCTGCAAAGAGCTGCTGTACCCAGGAGCTGGTGTTTGGTGTGGGACCTGGCTCCCTGCCCCTCCTACAGCTGTGAGAGCTCGCAGGGTTGGAGCTCAGTGGGTGGAAGCACTAACAAGCACCAAATCAAAGCAATTCTAGTGGTTTTGTGTGTCAGGAATACAAACCACCTCATTGCCATCACGCGTGCAGCTGTGTCTCTCTGCTCTTCACCCCTGACTGCAACAGATCCTTCAGCTGTGCATTGGGAACCACGACCTCTTCATGAGGAGGAGGAAGGCAGACTCGTTGGAGGTGCAGCAGATGAAGGCACAGGCCAGGGAGGAGAAGGCCAGGAAGCAGGTGAGCCACATATCCCATAACCAGTGAGCCAAAATCAGAAATGCAGACGGGCTTGGGAAGGACAGGTCTCTGGAATGGCTTCAGAGCAGCTTTGAGGGAAGGTCCAGCTGAACATTTTTTTGTAGCCTGCTCCCAGCTCTCCAGCCATCTCAGCTTGGCTCTGCAGCTTGGTGGCAGCCTGAGTCCAGCCCCCAATTTGGGAACAAACCTGAGAGGACGGGAGGGAAGAGCTGCCCTGGGTGTCTCCAAGAGCGTGGCAGGCCGTGTGTTGGGACAGTTGATTAATCAGGGGCTGTGAGGGGGAGCTGTGCTCTGCTGTGGCTCTTTGGCTCATTGCTAATTGCAGGGTGATGGAATGCACAGGCTGTGCAGCCTGGAATGCTGATTCCAGCCCGGCCTCTCTCCGTGCCGCGGGTCAGCCCGGGCGGAGGCAGCGGCGTGGAGCCCACGAGCAGAGATCAGCAAATTGAATTGTATGAATCATTGTTTGCTGCTTGTAGACCTTTTCTACTCACTGAAACCCACACAGCTAATCTGAGCACTGGTGCTCGGAATATAAATGGCCCCTTTGGCAGGGAAGCCACTAGAGAGAAGGAGAAGCCAGAGCAGGCACTGCAGCCAGCAGGGGCTTGTGCTCATGGCTCTGGGTGTTACTGGGTTGTGTGTGGCCACAGAGGTGCTTGTGTGGGGTGGAGCTGCTCAGCTGGCCTGGAAATGGGACATGGTTTGTTCTTCAGGCACCTCTGTCAGTCCTTGTGTGGTGCTGAGGTGCTCAGCTGGGCTGAAGGTAGGACATGGCTTGTTCTTCAGGCACTTCTTTGTGTTTGTGTGGTGCTGAGGTGCTCAGCCAGGCTGAAGGTAGGACATGGCTTGTCCTTCAGGCACCTCTTGGTGTTTGTGTGGTGCTGAGGTGCTCAGCTGGCCTGGAAATGGGACATGGCTTGTCCTTCAGGCACCTCCTGAAGCAGTTTTCCTTCATGTAGCTCATGGAGTGGCAGGAGAGCTCCACTGGGGAAGAGGGACTTTGTGCTTCCCACAGGGATTCCCCTGGTCAGTGAGGAGTTGGCCTCCAACCATCAACCAAGGAGTTGGCACTGTAGAACCATTGAGATTGGAAAAGCCCTCTGAGGCCTCCAACCATCAACCCTTCCCCACTGTGTTCCCTCAGCCGTGTCCTTAGTGGAGCAGAAGGTCCTTGGAAGGAGCAGCGTGGTGTCCAAGTGCTGGCAGCCTCAGGGATGGGTGGTCAGGCATTGGGGTGGGCTCCATCAGGCATTGGGAAGTCTCCATCCCTGGAGGAGTTCAGAAGTGCATGTGGCACTCAAGGATGTGGCTTTGTGGAGTACACAGTGGTGCTGGGATAATGGTTGGGCTTGGGCTCAGAGGGCTTTTCCAACCTGAACAATTCCATGAATCTTGAAGTTTTACAATGTGTGAGTTTTGATGTGTTTGGATAACAGCACAGCCAAGATCCTGTGCTTGTTTGGCTGCTGGGAGAGGTGAGGGCTCTGGGAGGGAGCAGCAGCTTATGGCTCCAGTGAGCTCCCAAATCCAGAGCACTTGGGCTCCAGGGGGGAGGTCAGGCTGCTGTGGGGGCTGGCTGCCCTGTCCTGAGCAAACCACTGTGCTCTCTGCACTGCTCCCTATTCCCAGAATCCACAGTCATTTACTGGCTCCAAATAGTCCTTTTAGATCAGGAATTCTTGTTAATGGGAGTCCTGAGCGGGATGCAGATCATAATGATAATTAATGAGGGGAACCTTTAATAGAAGGAAGCAGAACGGTTGGAACAGTGGGCGTCCCGCTTTCAGAGCACAGCTGGTGTCCAAGGAGTAGAGAAATGTGCCTTGTCTCACTTCCCTTCCCTTATTAAACCCAGCAGGTCTCCTGTCCTGGCTGCAGCGTGGATATTTATAATGCCCCATCCCTGTGGGACTGGAGGAATTAAACTCAGTGTGTTAATTAGCCCAATGGCTCCCTTGGGCTCTTGGCTAGTGAAGAGGCAGTCCCTGGGCACAACAATCCTCTCAGCATCTTCTGGGAAGAGCTGGCAGGTCCTAATGGCTTGGATCTTCTCCTCCTGGAGAAGCATTGCTGTACCCTGCAAACAGAGAGGCTTTGTTTTATCCAGGAATTGCCAGAGGTGCTTGCACTCTGTGTGACCTCCCTCTGAAGGAATGGAAGTGAAGGTTCCAGGATGCTGGGCTGGATATCTGATCAAAAGGAGCAGCTATCCTTGTCCTTCAGCCTCCTGCCATGTGCTTCAGTGTTTGGGAGATGCCCTCAGACTGTCCTTAAGCCCAGTCCTGCTGTAAGAAACTCCAGAGAGTTAAGCTGGAGATCTTGAGACCCACTTGTCCTGGTCTGGCCTGTGACTCAGCCTAGGAGGGCACTGTCTGGGGACATTGTCACCTGCAGGCAGCTCCTGTGGCCATGCTGTGAGGGACAGCCCGAGCAGAGGACTGGCACTTAGCAAGGGAGCATCAAACAGGCTGCCAGGGCAGGGGTGGAGTCACCATCCCTGAAAGGGTTAAAAGAGCGTGTGGATGTGGCCCTTGGGGACATGGGTTAGGGTGGCCTTGGCTGTGCTGGGAGAACAGCTGGACTTGATGGTCTTGGAGGTCTTTTCCAACCTAAGGGATGCCGTGGTTCTGTTCTTTGGTCAGGTCACCCCAGTCCAGGGACGTTCCCATTGTCACTAAGCAGAGAGGAGGCAGCAGTGCCCTGACCTCACCTGTGGCTCTTTCCCATCCATGGAAAACCTTCCTCATGTGTGTTCTTCTCCTCACTTTCCCCAATCCCCTTTTCCCAGATGGAGCGACAGTGCCTGGCACGAGAGAAGCAAATGAGAGAAGAGGCTGAGAGGACCAGGGATGAGCTGGAGAGGAGGCTGATGCAGCTGAAGGAGGAGGCAACCATGGCCAACGAGGCTCTGGTAGGTCCCTGGGAGGCCATTTCCCGAGCTCTGCAGCTGCTCCTCACCCTTTCCACTGCGGAAGCGTTTTTGGAAGTGCTCTATGACTGCCCTAACTCCCCAACTGCTGCCAGTGGCCAGTGAGCAGCAGGCTGGATGGAGCCATTTCATCCTGCTGGGCTGCTTGGGAGGAGCACAAAGAGGATGATTTGGGACAGAGCCTGGGCACATCCCAGCCTTGGCGGCTTTCAGGGCAGGGAGGGATTCTGTGGAGCGTGTCGGAGGCAGCAGCTCGGGGCCCTGCTCCAGGGGCTGTGGGCACATTTGGGGACACTTTGGCTGTGCGTGACGGCTTTGTGTCGTGCAATTGTCAGATGAGGTCGGAGGAGACGGCGGATCTGCTGGCGGAGAAGGCGCAGATCACGGAGGAGGAGGCCAAGCTGCTGGCGCAGAAGGCGGCCGAGGCCGAGCAGGAGATGCAGCGCATCAAGGCCACGGCCATCCGCACCGAGGAGGAGAAGAGGCTGATGGAGCAGAAGGTGCTGGAGGCAGAGATGTTGGCACTGAAAATGGCCGAGGAGTCAGAGAGGAGGTCAGAGGGTACAGCCCTGCAGCTGCTTCTGCTTTGCTTCCCACTCCCTTCAAGTTATCCCTCTGAGTTATCCTCCCTCAGCTTCCCACGTGTGTCCAACAGCAAATGGCTCTTTGGCCCACATGGTTTCCCTCTCCAAAAGCCAGCTCTGCTTTTGGGGGCTTTCTGCAACCCTCCCCTGCTTTCCCCAATGTTAATAACACCTGGGAGTTGTTCTTCCTCTGGATGGTAGCTCTAAGTTCCCTTTTTTCTCCTTACTCCTTTACTTATCTCTCAGTTGTTCAATTCTCCTTTCCAACCATGAGGTCTGTTTCAGGTTAGCCTTGAGCAGAGACTTTGCTCTTTGTTAAAACTGGTGTTTCCATCCTCCTGATACCCAAGCCCAGGTCCCACGGTGAATGTGGCAGTGAGCAAGTAAAAGATCAGCCTTGTTTCCTTCCAGCTGATTACTCCTCTCTGTGTGAGAGCCTGCTGGGTGCCAGCCCTTCTGCTCGGATGAACTCAGCCCTTCTCTGTCTCTTCTTGCCTATTCCACACTGTGACCCTGCTTCCCCATTGCTGCAGTCATTGCTGCAGTCTGGCATTTGCTGTTGCTGTTGGTCCTTGCAGGGCAAAGGAGGCTGATCAGCTCAAGCAGGACCTGCAGGAGGCTCGCGAGTCAGAGCGCAGAGCCAAGCAGAAGCTCCTGGAGATCACCAGCAAGTCTTCCTACACAGTAAGAGAGATCTGTGTTGTAATTCCCAGTTCCCTGCCCTCCTGTGTAGCCTGGAGGAGACTCCTTCTCCATCCCAATCATGGAGGGGGCTGAGCTGTCTCTTGGCTGCTCAGAAATCCTGAGCAGTGCTTGCCCTTTTCATCCCTGCATCTCATCCAGCACAACTTCACTTTGCTCTTTTTTTTTTTTTCCACCCACCTCTTGCTACGAGAGCAAAGGAGCTGCTGGTGAAATTAAAGCAGCAAATTTTAAACCAATTTAGCAGCCGTGTCAGAGGCACTTTGCCAGCACGTGTGGAGTGCACCAGCTTAGCCATAACCTTTAAAATAGGGTTAAATATACCCTTATTCTTGTTAGGTGGGATAAACACTGTTCAGAACCTGGGAATTCATTCTTTGGGCATAAACTGGACCTTCATGTGCTGGAAAAAAACTTACTTGAAGGGAGATTATTCCATAATTGTCCATTAAGAGGATTTCACACCTTCCTCTGAAGCATCTGCTCCCTGTTCCTGCTGGGCACTGAAAAGCCAGACTGGATGACCAATGCTCTGACTTGTCTGGCAGTTCTTTTCCTCTGCTTCCCTAATTGTGCCTGCAAGCCCCATCAGGTGCCTGCAGCCCTGCAGCTCACACCTGTTCCTTCCTGGCCTGGGGGAAGGGGAGTAGCATCAGGAATAGGCTTGAGTGGCAGTTATGGACAGGCCAGCACCGTGGTTTGAATTTGTACCTGCAGGCTCCTTCCTCCTTTGTCTGGAAACTTTATAGGAGAGGGGTTGAGATGGAGCAACTTTTCATCCCAATTCCCTGGAGTTCACTGCAAGAATATTTGGAAGCTGTTAAAAATAACAGTGATGGAAAATAATCAGGTGCTCTCAGCCCTGGGACACTCAGTCAAGTGAGTGCTGGATAAAGCCCAGCTTTGGAGTGCTGCTTCTTTTACAAGTCACTGGAATTCTGGGATGCACCAGCTCCTTAATTCTGGCTTTGACTTGTGCACAGGGAGACACTTGTCCTCTTTGAACAGTGTGGGATTTGGGCAGCCCTTGCACACCCTGTTCCCTCATGTTTTCCTGTCCATCCCTAGTGAAACCAGCAGAGCCCAGCTCGAAGCCCTTGTGCTGAAATCCCTGCACAGGGGAGCAGCTGGGTGGCTCTGCTCTGTGTTCCTGAGGAATTAGAGCCTCATTAGGGGAATGTTGTGGGATTGCATGGAGCTCAGCTCCACCCCTCCAGCTGCATCTGATGCCTGGAGGCAGAGCTGCTGCTTCCAGACACATGGGGCTGTGTCCTCTGCCTTCCCTAAAGAGCCCTGGCCTTCCAGACACGCTGCCAGTGCCTGCTGGGAAGGGAAATTGCAGGTCCTGTTCCTCCTGCCCCTCTCCCTGCCTGGGATGAGGGATGAGGGATGAGGGCAGTGCTGCACACACTCCCTGGCTGCTGTTTTCAAGGTCAGGAGGAGGAGGCTGGTGTGCCCAGCATGTCCCTATCCAGGTGAAAGCACCTTGCTGGGCTCTTCCATCCTCTGTTACACTTCCCTGGATTGCCAGTACATGGGAGGACCCTGTTTTGAAAGCTGTTTTTGGGAGACTTGAGTTCCTCAGCTCTGATGAGCAGTGCAGGATTCCAACTTTTCTCCTCCTGAATGGGTGTGTAACATTGGGCTTGTTCTTTTCCATGGTCCCAGAGTTGTGCTGTCATCCCCTGACACTGGGAACTCAGCAGGACTTCACAAGAGCAAGAGAGGAAGGAGGGATTGGATGGATGTAGAATCATTTAGGTTGGAAAAAACCCTTCAGAGATGGAGTCCAATCCCTGACCTAACTCTGTGCTGCAGAAAAAGCTAAAGAAACAGTTAAATATATATATTTCAACTTTCCAATCTTCAATCCTGGCTCTTTAAAGCTTGTTTCAGTGTCTTTTTAGTCCTTGAAGCCCAGGCTGCTTTTATGATGTCACTGGGAGGTGATGCATGAGAAGTGAGATGTGGATGTGAGTCTCAGGCTTGGAGAACGACTCATTCCTTACGGACTTGGCTGCAAATCTCTGCCTCCCTCAGTGCCCTTCAGGTGCCAGCTAAAGGCAGCCACCTCCTCTCTCATCCTGTGGGAGCTGGCAGTGCCTGCTTTGGGCTTGCCCAAAATAAAGGCAGTGGCAGCACCAGGAGGAGCTTTGCCTGCAGGGGAACCCTCCTGACCTGCTCTGTGCTCCCTCTGGATCCTCCCTGTCTGTATTCCTGAGGGATCCAAGGGATGCTGCTGTGCTGCTTTCCTCTTAAAGGCAGGAAACTGCTGGAGTGCAGGAGCAGGGCTCTGCAGTTTGTTCCAGGTCAGGGAACACATATGGAAAAAGCTCCCTGTCCCTTTTATCACCCCATGGCCCTGGATAAGAGATAACAGCACCTGCTGAGGGAGCTGCCCACGATTGTTGCTAATGGCAGGGAATCTGCAAGAGAAATTCCAGATCTGGGGTCCCAGCACAGGAGGGATCTGGAGGTGCTGGGGAGAGCCCAGAGGAGGCCCTGGAGGTGCTGCAAGGGCTGGAGCCAGGCTGGGAGAGCTGGGGGTGCTCACCTGGAGAGGAGAAGGCTCCAGGGAGAGCTCAGAGCCCCTGGCAGGGCCTGAAGGGGCTCCAGGAGAGCTGGAGAGGGACTGGGGACAAGGGATGGAGGGACAGGACACAGGGAATGGCTCCCAGTGCCAGAGGGCAGGGCTGGATGGGATATTGGGCAGGAATTCCTGGCTGTGAAGGTGGGGAGAGGCTGGCACAGGGTGCCCAGAGCAGCTGTGGCTGCCTCTGGATCCCTGGAAATGTCCCAGGCCAGGTTGGATGGGACTTGGAGCACCCTGGGACAGTGGGAGGTGTCCCTGCCATGGCAGGGGTGGAACAGGATGAGCTTTAAGCTCCCTTCCCACCCAAACCATTCCGTGATTCTGTTAAATGCTTTGTTCCAGATATCAGTCCTGTGCCTTTGAGAGCCCTGAACCTGCTCACTCTTTGCTTTTTCCATACTCTTCCTCACTCCTGCTGCTCTCTGACTTCACCAATTTTTTCCTTGCTCCATGGCAGAGCAGTGCTGAGGGAAGAGAAGGACGTAGTGGCTGTAGCAGCCCTGATGAATTGGCTCAGGCCTTAATGGCTGCAGCAACTGAAATTCCTGCTCAACTGTTACTGCTGCTGTTGGGAGTTTTTAAAAACAAAAACCAACAAAGCTTGTACTGAAAAAAAAAACCAAGCTAAAGGTTGTTTGAAGGCCAGTGGGCTGGCTTGGATGCTCCTGGCTCCCCTGTGCTGCAGGGACAGGAGAACCTCACGTGGGAAGGGCTTTGGGAACGCCTGTGTGCCTTACAGGGAAGGGACTTGAATGTCAATGGGATGCAAGTATTTAAATCAGTTAAGTGCTTTGGCAGACCTGTCCCCTTTCCTTCGAGACTGGAATTGAGGTACTGAGCTGTCCCTTGCAGCGCCTGCTCCAGAATTAATGCGCCTTTGTTCTGTGCTGGCAGCAAAGGGGGAGGAAGGAGTTGGCTTTCCTTGTCAGATGGGTCTTAACTCACCTGGAAGGCTCCAGCCAGGCCAAGTGCAGTTTGAGGCACCTCCTTGTTTATGCTTGTACGAGGTGTTTGTGTTCCAGCTTTGCTGCTCCATGAAATGTTGTCCCTCTCAGATTTGTCCGAGCTGGGAAGGAGCCCTGGCTGTTTGTGAATTCCAGGCTGGTGCTGAGGGCAGAGGCAGGTTATTGTGCAGAGTAAATCTGTCACCCCAGTGCTTGCAGGTCTTGCTGAAGAGGAGCTGACTGAAAACAGTGCTTGGAGTATCCCAAATAGGAGAAAGAAAGAGCCAATGGAAGCTCAAACTCTCATTTGTTAGAGCAGGTACCCAGCAGTGCCATTCCAGGTTTGGGCACATTGTTTTCCTTACGGGAATCCCTAAAAGCAAGAAGGAGCATCCAGGAGGGAGGTGGGGGATCTTTGGGATGCCAGGCTGGATTTCTCAGACCCCAGAGCAGGGCTGAGCAGGCTGGCAGAGCTGTGACTCAGCCCCATCTGATGCTGCTGTGCCACCCTTGACGTGTGTCCTGTTTGCCACCTCATCCAGCGTGCTGCAGGAGCAGAGCCATGGCTCCAGCAGGCTTTTCCTCTCCTCCTAATGAGCCCATTTGTTAGAGGTGTGACAGAATTTTTGACTGAGAGGAAGAAGGGTCATTTTTAAGGAGAAGATAAAATCTGAGGGCCTGGCAGTGTGTGTCACTGGGGGATAGCAAAGCATTTTGCAGGAGGAAGAAAGTCCCAAATCCTTGCTCAGGTGTTGCAGGAGTGATTTGCTGTGTTATCTCCGTTTCCAGCTGAATCTAGAAGTGGTTTCTAAACCTTTGGAGCTGTAAATTACTGAGGAGATAAAAATGTGTCAGTGCATCTCCATGGACCTTGCTGGAATGGCATCCTTGGGGTCACATTGGTCTTTGCTCAGGCTTTGGGGAGCTGTGGAGTGCAGGACTCTGCTGTCACACAGGGTCTTACATTGTCCCTGTTCACAGCTTGAACTTTATAAACCTGAATGAATGTTAAATAGCAGGCAGATGACTCCCAAGAGGCAGCTTAAAGTGACACAGCAGTGATAAAGCCTTGATTTTACCAAGTCTTGTCAATAGATTTTGAAGGCAGGTGGTATTTTGTCTCCTCTTTTAGGACTGCAAAGAATCCTGGAGGAGCAATGGCTTTGGATGGAGGAGCAAATTGGGAGTGGAGCAAGGGGATGTCCAGGCTGATCTTGTGCTCAGGACTCTGGGCTCAAGTGTTGCTCTGATTTTACATCAGCATTGCAGAACACTGGCTGTAGTGACCCTTGTGTGGCCCAGAGTGATTAACTCGTGCTCTCTCCTCAGCAGTCCATGAACTCGAGTACCACAGCACTGCCCACTGACCTGCCGAGCTACAACCTCATCAGTGAGAGCCTCTCCTTCGACTTCAAGGATACAGACATGAAGAGGCTGTCCATGGAAATCGAGAAGGAGAAGTATGTGGCACACATCCAATCCAGGCTGGGCTGGGATTTGTGCTGAATGTGAGCCAGGTGTGCCCAGAGACCAAGCACAGCTGGGCTGTGTCACCCTGGGGTGGCAGCAGGAGCAGGGCAGTGCCCGTGCCCTGAGCTGGCACTGCTGGGGCACCTCCAGGGCTGGGGCAGCTCTGGGACCCTCCTGACAGGAGAGCCCTGGAGGGGCTGGAGCGTGTCCAGGGCAGGGAACGGAGCTGGGAAGGGGCTGGAGCCCCAGGAGAGGCTGAGGGAGCTGGGCAGGGGCTCAGCCTGGAGCAAAGGAGGCTCAGGGGGCCCTTGTGGCTCTGCACAGCTCCTGCCAGGAGGGGACAGCCGGGGGGTCGGGCTGTGCTCCAGGGAACAGGGACAGGAGCAGAGGGAATGGCAGGGCGGGCTCAGGGTGGATTTTGGGATCATTTCTTCCTGGAAAGACCTGTCCAGCCCTGGCACAGCTGCCCAGGGCAGTGCTGGTGTCCCCATCTCTGCAGGGATTTAACACCCATGTGGATGTGGCACTTGGGGACATGGGGCAGAGGTGGCCTTGGCAGTGCTGGGGAATGGTTGGACTTGTTAACCCCAGAGGGCTTTTCCAAGCTGAACAGTTCTGGGCTTGTCCTGGCTGAGCCTTTCCCTGGTGGGGACCTGGTGTCACCAACCTGCTCCCAGGTGAGCTCAGGGCCCTGCTCCAGGCAGGTCCTCTCCCTGTGGGAATCCTGGCCCTGCTCAGGCTGGAATTGCCCACGGTGCTGGAAAGAGTTAACAGCAGGCTGAGTGCTGGAGGCTTGAGGCTTTGCAGGTGTCCAGGGACCCTGGGGTGTGTTAAGGTCCTTCACTGGGGCTTTAACCCCTTTTCCTTGGCATTTGTGTCACGTTCCTGGATAAAAAGTGTTCGCCAGCAAGTTTGGATGTGATTATGAGCTTTGATCTTGTGTTTTCCTGAGGGTGTAAGTGTAGCCTTCGAAATTACCAATTGAGCAGAAATCAAAGCAGATCAGATTTTAATCTCTGTAGTAATGATGTGCTTTGTTCATCGATTGGGTCACAGATCAAAGCCACAATGGCTCTGTCATCCTGCTCTGGCCAAAACTTCCCGAGGCTGCCCTGACACCCCTGGATCCCAGAGGCTGCTTTGCTTTGCCTCTGCTCAGTGCCCTTTGCTGTGTATGAAATCACAGACCTAGAGACAGATTAAGAACTTCTGAAAACTTTTCCCAAAGCCAGAAGGAAAAAGATAGAAGCTGAAAATAACAGGATAATTCCTGGTTCTGTACCCAGGTTGCTATCTAGGTCATCCTGCTCTCCTGAGCTGGGAGAGCTGCCTTGCCAAGTGCTGAAAGCAATATAGGATGCTTTTTCTGTCTTCTCTGGGGCTGTTCTCTTTCTGTGGGTGCTGGGATAAACCTCTTTACAAATTTTGGCACTGGAAAGGGTTCCTGTTACCCTGCTGGCCCTCTGACCTGGCTCGGGGGGTTAATCACAGCTACAAAACTCATGGGGTGATTTTTCGGTTGATTTTTCATTGTGAAGGCAATTCAGGATGAGTCCTGGGAATGCTGGCTTTGGGGGTTGGTTTTTTTTCTTTCTTGCTTTTTTTTGGGAGACTTTCTCTGTGCCAGGGGTGCTCTGTGTCCACAACATCCCTGGGGTATTTTGGGGACAGCACTTGCTCCCACACAGTTTGTGAGCTAAATCCCTCTAAAACATGACAAGTCACTACATCAGGGTCCTTCTTCATGGAAGGTTTGTGGATTTGGGTTGTGGAGCAGGTTTGGGAAGGGGTGCAGGGGTGTAGAGCTCTCCTGAATAGTTCTTAAATCACTGTGTGGTGTAAACCTCTGTCAGCTTCCCTTGCAAATGGGAGACTTAAAAATACCACCCAGCTTGGGTTTAATTTTGTATAATAATAATATAACTTACACTTTTATTGCTGGGTTGGCTGTCTGGGTCTCCTTTAATAAGGAACAAATAATTGCTCTGAGTAGCTCACTGTGTGCTATAAACTGATATCATCAGTTCCACACGCTAAAAATAATGAAGAAAAGCTGTTCCTGTTATAATTCTGTTATAATTCTGTTATCAGGTGTCACATCAGCAGGTGCAGCTGGTCAGTGCTAACCCAGGGCTGTTCTCTGTGTGTTTTAGGGTGGAGTACATGGAGAGGAGCAAGCACCTGCAGGAGCAGCTCAACGAGCTGAAGACAGAAATTGAGGCACTGAAGCTCAAGGAGAGGGAGACAGCTCTGGATATTTTGCACAACGAGAACTCCAGCCGGGGCAACAGCAAGCACAACACTATTAAAAAGGTATCAGAAGGCCCCAGTTTGTATCCCCTCTGATGAAACCCTTTAAAAAGAGCCCTAAAATCGTCCTGCTTTTGATAATAAAATTGTTGGATTTAGGCTTTCTTCCCCAGCTGCTTAGCTTTGATCGGAGAATTGCAGCTTCTGGTGGTCCTGGTGTCCTGACCCAGCCTGGTCTCTCCAGGGCTGTGGGAAGGGATGTGAGGGTCTCCAGAGCTGAAAGTCTTTCTGAACCTTAAAAGCTGTACAAGGATGTTGTTGGAAGGGCTCTGCATCCCCAGTGAACAGGAAAAGCCCTCCCTGCCTATTGCAGCTGTTCTGTATGAGCACTGAGCTTGTCTGGTGAATAACGAGGGCAGAAATACTCCTGGCTTAGGAGCTCTCAGTGGAAAAAGCCAAAAGCTCTTCCTCTCTTTTAATCTCTCTAGAGAAACCTTAGTGCAGCTTCAGTCACTAACAGCAAAGCTTTTGCTGGCAGGGGGTGTGAGACCTCTGCTCCCTGGAGCCACCTGCCTCCTGCCGTGGGGCTGACATGAGGAACTTCAGCCAAAAATTGAGCCAAAAATCTTCCACATCCCATCTTCTTCCTTTGCCTCAGTGCTGGGCTCTGTAACGAGGGGCTGGAGGCACATCCATGATGGGTTTGATGGTGGTGGTCAGCCCCACTCACCTGCAAAGGCTTTTTCCCTGCAAAGGCTTTTCCTGGCTGGCTTTCTGCTGGCAGCTGTCCTCGGGAAGGACTCGGAAATCCAGGCTGTGGTAACAACTGCAGGCTTGAAAAACAAATTCTGTTCTCTTTACTACTCCCAGCCAGAAGTTATGTCTGAAAGGATTTGGGAATATCAGTTCTTGAGACTTTGGTGGCTGGGAGTTTGTGATCACTGAATTGGGGCAGGAAAATGAATCTAGCGGGGCTCACTCACCAGTTTCCCCGTGCTGGCCTGGAGCTATTCAGGTTCCTGTCACACTAGAGCAGAGAAAATAAAAATCTTCACAACCCCTTTTGTCATTGTAGAATCTCCAGGCGTTTCTGCTCCCAGTAGGTTTGGGAAGGATTTGTCTCTGTGTTCCAAGTCCTTGGTTTAAACAAAAACTGCTAAATTTTCACTTCTGACAGAGAGGAGTTCATAGAGAGCTGATGGTCCCATTTGTCTCCCTTAAAGAGGGTGGCTGGGCCATCATTACCGTGTCTGTCAGGGCTTGTCACAGTGCTGTCACTCTGCCTCCTTTGAAGATGGAGTCTTGTCCTGTCCCCTCCCTTCCGGAGGCAGCAGGGGCTGCCCGGCTGCTGCATCTCAGCACGGAGCAAAGGTTCCCAAATAACAGACTATTAGTGGAGACATCAGAGGGAAATTACAGCCTGCTCTGCCCAGGGAGGTCAGCAGGGCTTTTGATTTAGCTGTGGTGAAGGCAAGGAAACCCAGGGCACTGGGAATGGGATATCAGTCCAGCAATACTTCAATGGCACCAACGCTCTGCCTCACCTGGAAGCTGCTGGTTGCTCCAGGCAAGCCCTAAGATCCCACAGATCCCCTGCCCTCCTATCACACACACGGGGATTATTATTATTATTTGTTGTTCGTTTTATTTTGCTGGTTTAGCCTCAAGCCCAGGGCAGAAGACCTATCTGCATTTGAGAATTCCAAGTAGGTTATTCCAAGGTACTCTGGTGGGCTGCTGGGCTCTGGCTGTGGCACTAACCCGTGCATGAGCTTGCCTGCGCTCCAGCGGCACCGGCTGCCCGTGGTCACCCGTCCAGCCTGGCTCTCCCTCCCCCAGGAGCACCCCCAGCCTCTCTGCACTTCTTCCTACACCTCATCCTCCGTGCTGGGAAGCTTTCTTGGCAGAAATTGTGTTGGCAACCTCAGAGGGGGAGTTCAGGTACAGGCACGTTAATAATTCAGCACGCCTGTTTTTGCACCGGTGGTTGGGAATCTATCGGAGGTGCAGGGCAGCCTTTGAAGATTCTTTTAATGAAGTAAACCAGCACCTTCCCCCCTTGTTTGTTGCAGAAAGAAATTCAGGATGTTAAAAAAAATGCCCCAAACAAACAGCTAAACCAATAATCTTTGCTGCCAACGTTGTCAAAATGGGCTAAAAATGCACAGCTCCGGCTCGGAGCCGAGCAGCACGAGGATGCTCTGCCTGTTGGAGAAGCATCCCAGGAAGGTAAAGCAGAGGATTGAGGACAACTGGTGTCTGCAGGTGGCTCTGTGCCAGGGGAAGGTCACCAGCACACCTGGGGACAGGAGCTGTCCTTCTCCCTGCACTGCCTCTGCCTGTCCCTCACCACCTCCTGCCCAGGGCGTCCTGCTCTGTTAGTGCCACATCTCTTATTCCTGGAGCCTGCTTTCCTCCAAGGATTTGCCCTCAATCTGCAGGCTGGATGTGCTGAGCATCCACTCCCTCCTTCGGGAGGATGAGTCTGGGGAAGCTTTCCTGCTCTGCCCTGGGGCAAAGTTCTTGCACAGCCACAGGGTTTTGGGAGCTTGGAGTCGGTGGCACTCAGGGAAATACTGGGATACCACACTCATGGGTGGCAGAGCTGGTGGGAAATGCTTTTGGAAAAGATAGAGCAATTCCCCAGCACCTCTGGAGCTCAGGAGCAGAGGCAGGAGGTTGTTTTACCCAGGAGAACTCAGAACAAGGCTGTGCCGTTCTTCACTGCACCAGCCATTCCAGGGGCTGTAAATCCCTGGAGTTTGGGGTTTGTGCCAGCTCTGAGGAGCTGCAGGTGTTCCCAAAACAGGCTGCTCTCATTGTTGAACAGTTCCATGGGGAAGAGGCTAAAAGGGGTGACCCTGCAGGTCTGGGCCAGCTTGGGGGAGGTGTTGGATATTTCCACACAGACTGGCTGTGGATGAAATGCATTATCCCATCCCACCTGCCTTGAAGAGCTCTGTGAAATTTGGGGTGAAATCCGCTTGTGGCCACAGCACAAGGAGGTGAAAGGAAGCCCTGGCAGTCTGTGGGAAGACTCTTGCAGCAGCTGGGAGAGCTGCAGTGCCCAGGAGGAGCCCCCATAATTAAAGCATCTGCACAGCGAGCGCTGCAGTGTGACCTCTGGGCTTTGGCGCCTGCCTTTGAAGGCGCCTGCGAAGTTTTTCATGTTTAATTACGTGGTTAACATGCTAATCCCTTTTTATGAGCTCTGTGGGCACAGCACAGACACCTCATCTGGAAGCTGCTCTCCCTTCTCCGTAGCTCCCTGCCGTGGGCTGGTGCTGTGGCTCCAGCTGGCTCCGATTCAGGAGGGTTTGTCACTTCGTCTGTGGTAAAGGGTGAAAAACCCACTTCTTCCTCATCTCCTCCGCTGCAGGAAAGCTCCCAGGACAGGCTGCTAAAACACAATCAGGTCTTTGATTCCACTTGCTTTCTTCTTGCACAGTCATGCTTATTTACTGGGATTTAAGCCCTTTGAAGTATCCAGGCAAGGAGCAAATCTCCACGCCTGTTCCCAGACAAGCAGCTTTGTGCTTGAGCCTCTGGTCCTTCCACAGGCAGCCTCAGCCTCTCCTGCCAGGCTCTCACGTGGCAGAGAGCAGCTTCTCCAGGGCTTGAGCTCCATCCCAGAGCATCACTTTGGGGCCCACGGGGATCCTGCTGGCTCCTTCCCTGGCTCTGATCCTGGATGCAGTGCAGTGTTGCCCTTGGCTTGGATAATGATCATTGTGGAGACACTTGGAGATCTGAGCTGGGGTGTTCAGGGTGGAGAAGAGAAGGCTCCAGGGAGACCTTAGAGCCCCTCCCAGTGCCTGAAGGAGAGCTTGGAGGGACTGGAGACAAGGGATGGAGGGACAGGACACAGGGAATG